GCCGAATCATTTTGCCAAAGACTGCCGCTATCAACGCAAAGCAATGCGCAGCGGGTCGGCACGAAAGGCACATTTTGATCTACGATGTTTCCAATGTCATAAAGTAGGTCACATTGCCTCTAAGTGTCGGGGAAATAGAATGAGGGATGCGACGTCAGCCGGTCTCTTCTCCGCACCGAGCATGAAAGAGGCGCTCCCTGTGATTAAGGTGCGCATCAATGGAATAACGCGTACAGCTTTAGTAGATTCGGGCTGCTCTCGGTCACTCATGAACAGTTCAATTTGTCGACAGTGGAGCAGACAAAAGATGGATGTACTAACGGCTGATGGAAAAGCTCTCAGAAGACGGGGAGTTGGAAACATCAAACTCTTTATCAACAACAGTAACCCCGTTACAGTCAGCGTGTTGGTCGTGGACAGCGCGTTATTAGGTTTTGATCTGCTTCTTGGGATGGACATTATTAAGGAGCTGGGTGGCGAACGCATCACAGAGGTGGGCAAGGTTGAGTTTTCTGATCTGCCCATCTGTGCGGCCTTGAGGATTAACGAACCTGACTTCAGTGCAACTTTCGACCAGCGCAGACGCGTATGGACCGCAACGTGGAAGTGGGCGGGTGGACGAACGCCCACGCCACTGAAAAAAAACTGCCCTCCTTCTCATTCCAGCCCTTTACATAGAGCTTGGTAACTCACCTATGCAAAACACCAACAAGCCAGCTACCAATCACAGTTCACGCGCATACCCACCTCCACTCACTTTGGGGGTGTCAAGTTGACCAACCAACTCATTACATGCCCCCGTGATCTTAAGATCACAAAGCTTCTCAGTTCGAGAGATGGTTGCGTCTGTCTGGTGACTGCGTCCGCATATATACAACTTGCACGCTTGACATATTGGGATAAACACACTTGCGCGAACTCGTTTGCTTCGAGGTGGCAGATTTCCAGATTCATCCCGTGTCTTGCTGTCATGATCACACACCGTGCAACTCGGGGCAGGCCTCTTCTGCTGGGCACTCCTTCTGAGCGGGATGACAGGGTCCTCATCCTCGGATGAACTCTCATCCGTTGAGCTACCATCTGCCTCTGGACAGCTGGCCACGTTGACGTCCGTAGGTAGAGTACTGATGTTTGAGGTAGAACTCAGTGGATCCGACTTTAAATACACCACTCACGCACCATCTTCAGAGTCACTTTCATCATCTGATGACGGTTTTAACCCTACAACTGGCCACAAGTCTTTAACATGACGAGGCACGCCATCAACCCGCACTGACTGCAGGCTGATAATCTCGGTAACATGCACCATTCTAAGCTTGTCCGTACACTTACTGTGCGGAGTCTTAACCCACACTACGTCACCAATTCAGTATTTAGTTTGCGCGTCACTCGGAGCCATTGCAATGTCAATGCCTCGCAGCTGTAAGTGATAGGCATGCACCATGTTAGCCAGTGCTGTTGTAGGCGAAAGAAACACCGTCTTTAGGTGTCGCATTATACCAATAGACTGCTTCGGGGATCGAACATCGCTTCCTGGCTACAATCACTTTTATAAACCGGTGGCTCCTTTCTACCATGCCGTTTCCCGCCGACACGTAGGTGCACCGGAACCGAAGCCACACACCCCACTTCTTTAAGAACTGCGAGAATTGCTCTGAAGAAAACGCCACACCATTATCTGTCAATAGTTCTGCAGGTGGCCCTCGGTCGTAAAAGATGGACTCCAATTGACATATTATGCTGGCAGTGTCCTGCTGGTGCAGTAGTCGCCAAATGGCAAAGCGAGAGGGTCCACAGTCAATAATAGTCAAATAGTGCTGGCTGCCAACATGCGTAACATCTATCCCCAGCCTGTTCCAAACATGGGTAGTACTCAAGTTATTTTTTTGCTGTTGCACCGGTGCCAGGTCAATTGGCTGGCACGCCTCGCACCTCTGCACTACTGTCCTAACATCCGTCTTTTTGACTGCCGCGTCGACCATCTTCAAGAAGTAGAGCATCCGTTTAATCCCAGGATGCCCACACTGTTCATGTATGCTCATGATCCGCTCGAGGTCCATACTGAGCGCAAAAGCCATACACGGCAGCTGCAGAGGTTCAGACTCTTTCCGAGCAGCAGCCAACCAACATTGTGGAACGTGAGTCAATGCATCTGCTCTGTTGACTGCCGATTTAATTAACACTACATCCACAGACAGGTTGTACTCTTTGATAATTTCAATCAGCGTGGTGAGCCGCCTTCATATCAACATCTCGCTCGATGCCTTGGTGGTCAGTCGCGCTCTTCCGCTAAGTGCATCTGATATCCAACGCTGAGTGCATGCTGAGTCCGTGACGATGTGTAGCACTGTTGCTTGCCATAGGAGCGCCAGGTTAACCCCCTTCAGAGTGGCATCTAGTTCAGCCAGGTTTATGTGTTGTGCATCATTTTCAGGTCGCAACCAGCAGGCGTCTTCTATGATGGACCTGTTATCTTCAAGGGCGACACCCATGGCCAACGAGCTGGCATCTACCCAAACGGTGAGCTCGTTCCCCTTAACGCACCAGTCACCTCGCACAGGATCATCTTGCATCACTCTCTCCATAGTTTCAGTTATCATGCATCTTAGGGTAACGTCGTGCACCTCATCATCCCATCCTGACGAAACAGAAGTTACGTGGCGCTTTATGGCTGCTGCCGCCACTCTGAGCCAACCGCATACGGGAAAATGGCCTACCAGTTTCCCACACATAGAGAAGGTACTCCGACTAGTGATCACTGGCGGGACTTCCAGGATGTCACTACCTCGCCTCCAGCGAAGTTTTTCTCCATCACTACTGACATGTAGTCCAAGTACATTCGCTCCATCCTGTAGCAGCTCTGGAGCCTTGTACACCAAGCCAAAGTGCTCCAGATGTTCCTTAGCCCTCGTTGAAGAGGCCACGTTTTCATTGACGTAAACATTGTCAGTGTAGGATGACGTTGCCCTTCGAATTTCCTCATCCTGCGACATGACCACATTCATAATCGCTGACATGATTTTTGGAGCCACATTAAGACCAAATCCCAATCGAGTGAGGCAATATCTCTGTCCTTTTACCATGACAGTCTGAAAGGGCCAGAGTGATCGGTACGGCGAGCTTCTTTAATTCCGCCAAATACACGTCTACTGACTCGCCAGATCGTAGACACTGCGCCTGGAATTGGTCATAGGCCACGAACCGGTCAGTTCCAAACGCGGTTAGTAGAGCATGCTTTATTTGATCAATGTCACTTTTCTGTTCTTTGCTCAGCTGCCTATACACAGCAAGGGCACTGCCTTTCAATCGCAGTGGAAGAATCCGTTCAATCTTTGTGATCTCGCATAATTCGCAGACCAGTTCCACCTTTTCGATCCATTCAACCACAGACTGTACACTCGTATCACCACTGAATTCGGAGATCAGTTTTATGTTGAACGGTCTTTCCACCATCGTGCTAGAGACAAAGTAAATGCCAAAATAGCTTGTGTTGGAATGTGTCATGAAAAAATAAATGATTTCATCTCTCTCTCTTCTGCTGTCGTAGTGACGGACACAGTCTCTACTTCTGAGACTGAAAAAAACCTGCCCTCCTTCTCATTCCAGCCCTTTACATAGAGCTTGGTAACTCACCTATGCAAAACACCAACAAGCCAGCTACCAATCACAGTTCCCGCGCATGCCCACCTCCACTCACTTTGGGGGTGTCAAGTTGACCAACCAACTCATTACAGTTTGATCTTTGGTACCTTCCAATTAACTCTTTTTGCAACAAGATAAATATTGTTATCCCCAGTATTAATACAGCAACTGAAAAATTGAAAAATGAACCGAAAAAGAGTTTTCCAGAAGTTTTCTCTGAAGATCTTGACACATGCATGAAAGCAAAAGCTAAGTATGCAATGTAACACCGACATTTAAGCCAAAAAGGAGTGTACCTTTTGTGGCTTTAGATCCAAATAATAATGGATTGGACAAAGAATATGGTTCTAAGATTAGTGAAGGAAAATGTGAATTGTTTATGTCCAGACTTAAATATCTAGGACAAATTATAGATGAAAATGGTAGATGACCAGATCCTTCAAGATAAAGGACATGCCTGCCCCAACAAATGTAACAAAGTTATAAGCATTTTAGGGTTTGCTAATTACTATCATACATATATACCTAATATGCATGAATTAAGACCACCCTTGAATAATCTGCTGAAGAAAGATGTGAAATGGAATTGGACAGATAAATATCAAAGTGCTTCTGAAGAGATAAAGAAAGTCTTAACATCAGAAATTGTTGAACCAAGGGTTTATGACAAAAGAAAAAGAAAGCTAACAGAATTTCTAACTATTGAACTGAAGGTGAAGAAGTATAGGCTCCAGGAGAAGTCATCTCAAAAGGGAAGTGTTATGTAAGAATAAAGATTGCTGCCGACACTGGAATTTGAACACAGATCACCAGAAAACAAACACATGCAATAAGTAGATCACTTGATAGTAAAGGAAAAGTATATATGGGAATTAGCATGGTGTCTAAGTGATCACTATATGGATTACTATTTGGATCACTATTTGGTGGTTACTTCAAGTGATATTTGAAGGCGTCTGACACCAGTATTGTCCAATGGTGTTACTATAGTTGTATCTGTGATAAAGTCTCTACTACAATGAGCATGAGTGACATTGAGTATTCATTGACATTACAAAAGTAGCAATGAGTGTTCGTTGACATCACAAAATATTGAAATTCATTGTCATAAAGAAAACCAGTCCTAAAAAAAAAAATACACCACATATACAAATTCTTGTGGGCAATGGGAGATTGCAATTTGGAATGAAATTCTTTATATTATCCAAATGCTATCCTCAAAGATAACAAGAAGGAATTTGGCTCTCAACAACTTTATTGTAACTGCTGCCTGATCTACCAGGAGTGGGAACCCTAAATTATCACAACTATCTTAACTATAGGATGATAATGTTCAATTAATATATATTTATACTTACAAGAACAATAGATGATAAAAGTACATTTTGATTGTGAAATTCTGAAAAGAGAGAAAATAATCTCATTAATTTATATAATTAATCTGAGTCTTGTCTTTCTCGGAAACTCCATAAACCTGGTCTTGTTAAAAAGCAGAAGTGTTATATACACACAAATAGTAACACAAGAGGTGAAAAAAAAAAGAAGACAAAAATCAAGATAAAATTCTTAAAAAAACATTGTATTGCCAATATGGAGGATCAAGAGAGTGGGTGAGGGAAGTGACTTGGAAGGGGAGAGTCAGTAGGGTCTTGAGCTGATGAATGTGTTGAGTCAGTTGACTGAAGTCACTGGTGGTAACATTGACAGTTTGCCCATAAGCTAGGATTGCTGACAGTTTCATGAACAGTGTTTTTAAAAGTAGATGGGGTGGATCATGAGTTTTTGTCATGCTTTTTACCAAGACAGAACATAGATATTCTAGGACAAATTTAGAGTAAGAGATTTATTCCTGTCATCATCATATTTTTAGTATTGTTAGATTCACGCTGGTTTAGATATGTCAGTAACTGATGGTCGATGAACAAGACGAAGGGATGGTTGTGGAAGAAGTAATCAAATTTAGTTATAGTCCCTTTTATAGTGAATGCTTCATGCTCACTGGTAGATCAGTTCTGTCTACTTGGATTTGTTTGTGTAGACAGGTTTTGTGGAACTATCGGATTTAAACAAGACGCCTGATGAGGAATTACAGTTCTTGTTCAATGCTGGAGTTTTCATCTCTACAGTAGCATGATTATATTTGGGGTCAGTATGAAATCTCTTGTTTACGATGTGACCAAGAAATTTGACTCCAACAGCAATGAACATGCACTTTTTCAGATGCAGTCTCAATCCAAATTTACAGAGAGCAATGCAGTGTTGTTTGAGTGCAATCAGGTACTCCTTGAAAGTCTTGGCATGGACAAAGTTATCTTTAATGTAGGAGAATATGTTTGCATGTGAGGCAACAGTGACCAGGGCACTGGATATACATTTTAGATCAAATGCTAGATGAGTCTATTGATAGCATTGAAGATTCCAAGTGAATGCAATTTTATGGTGGTTATATTCATCAGTGAAAATCTGCTAATAACCATTGCGGAGGTTAACAGATGAAACATATTTGCTGCCTTTGGCAATTTTGTTGCATATGGGTTGAGATCTACCAGTATCATAGTGCAGGTGTTCTGTTGCCAGTCTTCCATCTATTGGAACATGTCTTTAAGTTATTTGGCAGTTTTGACAAATTCACCCTGTGTTTCTTGGCAAGTTTCTGTTTTCAAATTCATAATAAAGCCATTGATGTCATTGCCCTTTCAAATTTTCTGATATCCTGCATTGCATCATGTAGTTACTGCTGCCACATTATTAGTTCATAGTCTGTGCAGTTGTTGGCTGTGTCTGAGGTTCTAGTCGCGCCAGATATGTGAGTCTGTGTTAATAAATACAAAGAAACAACTAAAACCTATATATATATATATATATATATATATATATATATATATATATATAAAAAAAATGACAATATGCGAACTTTATCAAAGCAAAATATTTTGCTTTGATAAAGTCCACATTGGACGAAACGCGTCAGCAATTACCAGTTTTCCTATTGTCATTTTTATTCATAAATATTGTCTTCTCTACTGGTTAAATCGGAGAAAATTTCATATATATATATATATATAAACGATAATGTATGTATTAACAAAACATAAGTATACATAGACAATAGGAAATTTGTTGCATGTTACAAAACAATGAATAGGAATGAAGAAAACATTTAAACTAGTGAATTGTTTGTGTGTAAAGTGTAGAAAGAGTCCTAGACAAAATGAAGCAAAAGGTGTGTACAGATGTGTGTGTTTGCATTTGTGTGTTCCTTCCCAGTGGAGAACACATTCTCAACATTCAGCTTGCATCCTTCGATGTGGAAGTGAAAAAAGTGCAAAAAAGAGAGAAAATATTACAGTCTATTTAACAGTGTTTTTTTTATTAGGAAAGCAAGTGGGGGTTAACTCCACAAGCTGACAATTTGACCATGACTGTTGACAATGAGTAGTGTTCTTAGAAACAGAGGAGGTGGATCATGACTTTTGCTTTAGCGGCAATGTTCAGGATTAGCTCCTTTCATATTGTATTTTTTGTTTTAAGAGGTTTGTTTTGTAAGCTGGCTGTGATGTTTGGAGCCCCTGCACAGAGAGTGACTTTTTTATTTTTATTTTCTTAGTGTTCACATCTGGCCAATAGGTTTTGATGTATAGTTTGAAGCAGAGTATAACAGAATGAACATTTGTTGTTGTTTTTTTTTTTATTTTTGTAGTGTATTGAATACTGAAGGAAAAAGAAACATTATTTTTGTGTCATGATGCTCCATAAATCCAAAGCTACTTACAATATTAATATTGCCTTTAGGCTGGAGTTAGTTTCAGAATAGGCCATTTATCATTGGTTCCAAAAATTTGTGTAAGTTGATCTCTAAGCATTGTCCTCCAACAATAAAGAATTCAGTGTTGTCACAAAGGCTCATTCAGAAAGAAACTTGGGTATTGTAGAAAAGCTGGTATTAGTCCATCCTGAATGCAAAAGAAGCTGCTAATATTAGTGTGAATATATATATATATATATATATATATATATATATATATATATATATATATATATATATATATATATATAAATACACATATACTTACATAAAGTTACTTGGTTTCCAAGTCATCAGGAACAAATGGTAAATGAACTACATAATATAGTTGTTTTCTAAAAATACTGTTCTCATAGGAGGAACGCTAAATTATATGCAGATTTAAATTAAAATTTAATTTAATCCACAAAAATTTCAGCCATATACCATTGCTCAATAAAATCTTCAACAAGAACAACATTAAAATTAGCTACAGCTGCACTAAAAACCTCGAGCAATATATAGCACAGAATAATAATATAACATTAAACAAATATTTGAACAAATAATATTAATACAAACAAAAAGTGTGGTTATCGAAAAAAAACAGTACCTATCCACTAAATCATAAATGTATGAATGAAAAAGGCGTTATTTACAAGGCTAGCATTAAACGTAATAGTGAAACTAAATTTTATTTTGGTTCCACTGCCAACCACTTGAAAACCTGTTATTACCATCATAAAATGACTCTTATAATAAACAATATTCAAATACTATGGCACTCTCAAAATTTTACTAGGAAATTAAAACAAATAACTACACACCAGTAGTAAATTGGACTACAAACATAGATATGTATATTTATTAATATATATACTTCATAGCTCTGTTTAACTAAATTGAGCACTGTTTTGTTTGCACCATAAATTAAAGTAAATAAATATTTAATTGCTCATCTGTGTATGCACGCTTTTGCACACATATACAATTGCTAATATCTCATTATTTAGTTTATATTCACTTATATCTATATTATTTCTAATGAAATAATAGATTATATTTATTAATTCGGCATATTTTTTTAATTACTTTAATTTTTTTTTTCTTTTTATATATTATTCAATGTACAGCTTGCATAAACTTTTGTAGTGAATTTAAATACATATACTTTATCACACATACTGGTCAGAGCGCTGACATAGCAGTATGATTTGGGACTCTGCTGAACCCTACATGTGTTGGAGTTTTGGTTTGATCACAGCAACATGCAATTACAGCCCATCTCTCTGTTGTCTCAGTGGGAGATGGAGAGCTCTAAGTCTCTTTTCAATAAAAGTAGTGAACAGAGAACGCATGCCCATCTGTTCCTCTCTTCTGATATCACATGCAGAACTTTCATTTTTCTATACTTGAGAAAACATCCACAAAAGGTAAAAGCTTTGTATGCTGTGTATTGTTTCTCAATACAATAAATGTTTATGTTTCATATATGTTTGAACTATTCTTATTCTTTTCTCATAATGTTTACTAAATATTATACATGCTTGTTCTGAATTGTTTATTATTAGAGGTATGACTCCTAAAATAATTTTTTTTACTTAGAAAATGTCTTTTGAATGAAAAGTATATTATGGTCTTTTTTGGTACAAATTAAAATGTCAGTTAGATTAAGACCATAAATCAAAATCAATAATGACATTGGTGAGACTAAAATAAATATTTGCTTTTAGATGAAGATTCTTTGTTTATTGAATTTATTATTTCTTGGTACAAATTATATATCATTTGAATTTCAGTAACAAAAACAAAATATGTGGTAGGATGGGACGTTTTTCTGAAATAATATTATTCAACCAGGCATTAGACATTTTGATTAAGAAAACTTAAAAATGAATAATTTAAGCAAAAAATTTACAAGCAACTTTGATCTAAAATTATTAGGTCATTTTTATTACAAGAAACACTCTTAACACTTTCATAACCATGTTAAAATAACTAACAAAATTTAATATTTCAACCAAAACACAATATATTTTACAATGTTAAAATCCAGTGTGTAACTAAATAAAAGTTTTTTGTGCACATAACATGCTGAGTGGTTATGTGCTAAAATGAGAGTGCAAAGTTCTTGTGTTATGTTTATATACGAGTAATACACAGTGAGTAAATGACTGGAGAGAGTGTAATTCGACTCACTTTTATAAAAATGAGAGAAAAAAATCTCCATTGCCATAAGAATCTTTAGTGACAGACTTGAATTAGCTACCAATAATCTACTCTCTTGTCCTTGAATTTCCAATGGTGACAAGTTTGCTTTCATCTGAATCCAACAAAATCTTCAGGAACGCATACAACTAGTTAAAAAATATTGAATATTAAATTATGATTTTTATAGCTCAACCTCAACTGGAAATAATGCATGAAACCTGCTGTGTATTCATAATGAAGAACTGTGTGCCACATGTAAAGGCTGACTTTAGATTTTTCAGATACCAAATTGCTACTTTTGTTTGATGGACTATTTTTGCTTTGCGCTTTAGAAAACGGTTTTCAGAGCAAAGCAATCTTAACCTGAGTTATGTGCACTGGTTAAGCAGTTTTTTTCATTGTTACCTAATTTAATTAGGACTGTTTTTATTTATTTTCATCATTTTTTTTTTTTTTTTTTAATGGATGATAAGGACCTGGACAACATTGCTATGGCTTTGTTCAGAACCCCCTCCACCCAAAAAAGGAGGAAAAAGAAAGAAATGATAAGAGACCAGAATAAAAAAAACAAAAATAAACACGACCTGTGGAAATGCCAAATAGTGAAAAAAATTATTAATAGTTCTAAATTAATAACTTATAAATAAATATAAGACATAGGACTATACTGCCGATTTTGTTCTCGGCTTCTTCATAGGAAAGTAAAACAAAACAACTCAAAGAAGCAGACAAAATTTAGTAGATAAAAAACCAAAATATAGTGTTCACAGATAAAACATTTATTTCAATAAAGCAAAATTTCTATGCATATTGTTCCATATGCCAAATAGTAACAAAACATAATGATAAAGAAAGGTATTTACTTACATTAATAATTTTGTCAGTCTATAGCAAGGGTCGGATCCGGTCCACGAAGGCATTTTGACCAGCCCGCGAACCTGATTACCAATGACTATTTTTAACATGAGATCTGTCAACACTTCTCAATTTAAGTATATCGTCGACCTTCAAATGAAATTTGTTATATGTCATTTTCCATAGAATGTCTACACATCTCAGCGCACTAAAAATATTAGACTATCTGCCAGTTATCTTTCATGAGATTTATTTTACCAAGTTGCGTTGCCTACGTTTAATGTCAAATAATGGATACATATTTGTTATGACCCTTGGCTACATTAAAAGATAACAGAAGCGAAAGGAACGATAAAGTAAAAGAGGCCAGGGAGGGATTGACATGCGAGGTAGCAGAAATCTAAAGACAGTTAAACATATGTGCATTATACATACATGCCTCATGAATGTGTGGATGATACCGCATGTGTACGTATGTAAGTGTATATGTTTGCAACTATTTGTACTCGTATGTATGGGTATGTGCTTCGTTTTTGTTTGATGTGTGTGGTTCGTTTGTGGAACAATTTTCAATAACAGTTTCAAACCTACACGTCATAATTTTATCCATTTCACTTCGGTTGATTTTTTTTCACTTTGAAGTATTTTGACGTTCATTGGGGAAAAGTAATTTTTGTTAGGTGTTTTTTAATTTTAGATTTTCTTTTGTTTTTTCTGATTTCTCAATGTTTATTTTCATTATGGTTTTAAATATTTAAGTTGACAGGGGTCTGCATATGTAATTTTCCTTAATTTATCATTAATGGCCTTCGTCCGGCCCGCGATCCGTCATTAACATGATCCGGCCTGCGGGGTCGAATGAGTTGCCGACCCCAGGTCTATAATGTATCATTCTTTAAACTGACAACTTAGACATCTTTTTTCTTTTCTTTTTTTCAACCTTTTCTTTTACAATGAAAAACTTATTTTAAAATCTTTCCTTAACAGTCAATTTCTTCAGATACTTTAGTTTTATCTTCTTTCTTCTACAAATTTCTTTTATCTTCTTTTTTTCTTCAAATACATTTCTTTTTCTTCAGAAATTCTTTCTCTCTTAGGAGCTGAAAGCGAAAATTAGAAAACACAAGGCCTAATCTAGGCTAAGATCAAATTTTAAAATAAATATCTATTTAAAATATTTTAAATAGAGAACGAGAATGGGGCAGCCTTCCTCGCATCGAACGACTCTATCAAAAACGTTGACTCTGCGAGTCAACAATACAAACAAATCAAAGGCAATAATTCCTCTTCTTGGGAATAAAAACAGCTCTTCCAAATAAATGTCTCTTCTTAGACAAAGTTGAAACAAATCTCCAAAAGCCGCCAAGTACCTTTAACCTTTGTATCTTTCTTTACTTTAACAAAGGTCTATATTTGCGTCAATACCTCAATAGGCCTTATAAGTCAAATCAAAATAACTTTTCTCAAGTTATATTTAAACAAATTTATAACTTTTCTCAAGTTATATTTAAACAAATTTTAGCTTCGGAATTCTACCGGAGCTAATAAAAAAATCTTTTGTACAGAGTCGCTCGAAACGAAAAACTCACTATCCCTTCTCCCCGTCCTTAAATAAAATCAGATATATAGCAATTAAAGTTAAAAATAAATATTAACTATATTAAGAAAATAATTCGACACTGTAAGTCGAATATTCAAGATAACACGTTACTTTACGTGGCAAACTAAATTAGTTGCCCACGGAGCCAGAATACAAAGCGTTTTACTCTTAAATCAACCAATCTCTCCCGATCAAAGGGAGGTGCCGTTTCCCGCCTCCAACCCCATAAAAAGGGCGTCTATAAAAAAAATCATCATCTACTTTGCTATCAGATGCGTATCGTTCCAAATTTCAATACATTAAATATTTCTTCATTGAAGTTATTGAAATGTCTTCGAATTTTAATATTCTAAAATTTTGCAAATAAAAAAAATTCTCAAACTCTCCCATCAAGAAAAAAGTAAGGGAAAGAAAAGAAAAATTCTCTTTAAATTATAATAATCAAATTTCCATCTATAAGTTGGGCTTTAAAATTATCTAAGATAGAAAAAAAAATCTTGCAA